CCCCAAAACCCCAAAACCCCAAAACCCCAAAACCCCTTTTCTCAATATAAAATTGAAAACTACAATTTCAATTTAGATTGGAAAATTTATTGGTTCATCAAAACTAACTTCCAGGCTTATTCACCTGCTTGTTTTGAGAGATATGGGAATTATGAGTGTCCATTATTTCTGGAGGAATTGTTCTTATTAACCCTGATGGCCCAATTGTCTCTATTTTAGATGTTCTATGATGATAAACCAAACCTCACTTCTGGACCTGTGGCTGGTAGTAATTTGGATGGAATTGGTGTTTTGAATTAGGTGTAAGAATTTTCTCTAGAAATTACACTATAAATTACCCCTTGGCTGATCCTGAGGATCGTCTTCAAAAGTTTTTCTAATACTACCTAATTTTTCCATCAACTTTTTATTCTTCAGCTTCAAATTTTTGATCTTGTTATCTTTCTTATTGAGATGCTGTTCAATATAAATCTGAAAAACTTACTTTCTGAAACTTTTTATGAGCGAGTATAATTTGATCAATAAACTTCATTTGCATATCTTTATGAGTTCCTAGAACATCATTTTTGAATATTTCGACGCTCATCCGGACCTTCTGTATTTCTTGGAGGTATTGCTCACCGAGTACTTTGCAGCGCTGCTTCCACTCATCAGCTTTGTTGAGGGCACTTTTGATTTTTCTATGGGATGACTTGCTGATCTTCCTTGGCCGAGGAGCCTTTCCGTATTTAGTTCTAGCGTTTTTCCTATCAGCTGAATAGCAAAGTCGGGATTCTTGATTTGCCGAGCTCTTTACACTAAGACTTGGTTGATTCAGAGTACTAGGATGATGCATAGGCTGTCTCTCTCAAAACTTCTCTTTCTTCTTAACCAAACTCTTTAAGCTGTTCAATTCATCTTTCAATTGAAGTACTCTGAACTGCAATTTATTTATTCTCCTTCTCCAGAGCTTCAATTTTACTCCCTGACTTCTTCCTCTTCTCACTTCTCATCTTCCCTTTCTTCTGAAATCTCCTCACAACACATCCCCCTTTCCCTCTCTTCTCCTTTCTCTTCTTCAATTTCTCTCCCTCTTCATTCTCTTCCACTTCTAAAACTCAACTCTCATTCCTAAAAATCCCCAAAAACTCAAATTCCCTCTTTGACTTACTAATTTTCTCAAAAGTTAGGTTTTGGTTTAAGCTAGAGAGATGTATTGAGTCTGCTGGGACTGAAGGGACTGTGGAGGTGATACTGTTGCGATTTGGAGTTGGTGATTCTAGGTTTGAGGGATGTGGGGCTCGATCCGACATTTGTAAAAAATTCCAATATAAACTCTAACTATAGGGGTTTTGGGGTTTTGGGGTTTTGGGGTTTTGGGG